ATATATATATATATATATATATATATATATATATATATATATATATATATATATATATTATATATATATTATATATATATATATATTATATATATATACACGAAATGGGCTTAGGAGCCTACTAGAAATCACATGGCTTTTTTTTAGGCCCCTAGGTTTATTATTTAAGCTATATCAATAAATATAAGCTCATGTCACGGTGTCAGTTCGAGTGTTTTTCAGAGAATTATTAAGGAAAAGAAGTATTATATATGTTGTAGTTGTGTAGTTGTATGTATATCCTTGTCTATTATTCAAGATTCTATCACTACCTAAAATATACTGAGCTCACAATCTTCTGAATAAAAATGTATAGAAGAAGCATACCTTCCTTTCGCATAATTTGACACTTGCCACGTGCTTTAACCCATCCAAACCTTGCAATATTTTTCAAATACTACAATGACATTGCATCCAAAAACTGGCATTTTCACATGAATTGTAAGTTTGTCAAGTTCTCCAGTAAACAAGCTTCACCAACAAATCAAATTACTAAAGAAAAAAGAACAAGACAATATTCTTTTTGCACTTTGCAGACAGACGTTTTGAATTTCGAACCAAGAAATTCGAAAATTTCTATACTTCATCTAACACAAATTAGAATGTAATGTAATGTCAAAATATAATATTGAAATGTATAAAAGTAGAAATTAGAATACGAGCTAACGTGAACGTCTCCGTGGCGCAATCGGTTAGCGCGTTCGGCTGTTAACCGAAAGGTTGGTGGTTCAAGCCCACCCGGGGACGTTATGTTTTTATCCGTCCAATATAATTCTTTTCTCTCATTAAAATCACACTCTTTTAACAGTTAAATGTCTTATGCATTTACTTTCCTTAAAAATGTTGTTTGCAATAATTTTAGACACGGTAAAAAGCAAACGAAAAAGTATTATATATTTTCATTCTCGTCCCAGGCCCCGGCAGGTAGGCCTGCCTGCCTGCAGACAAAACCTATAAGCGAAGAATGAACCTCTGCGATATATCGCCTATTTTATTGTTCCTAAGAATCAAAATACTTGTTGAAATGTACATTTCTTTAATATCACGTAAAAATATAGCTGATAAATTTACAAAAACAAAACTACAATATAATCTACAATCTATGATATGTATGCCATAAATAAAATTCGGCACAATTTCTGTATACCTTTACGCAAATTCTTTCCTTAAATATTTCTATTTTTAAAATACTGGCGTCTTGGTCGTTTAGTGAGCTCTATCTATATAATTCTTTAAAATATTTCTCCTCTGTTTGCAATGACCTCATCTTTTTAAAATTCTTCCGAAGGAACAGTGCAAAAACATGTTGTATTATATATTTAATGAAATTGACTGGATTAAGAAATTCTTTGCTGACATTATATAAGCTTTGAAAATATGGTCAGTTATGGTATAACATTTAGCAGATGAACAGTCTTCTTCTCATCGCTCTGGTCTAGCAATAACGACCTTTCATAATATAGTTTAAAACTGTAAGATAATGTGCAACTTATCGTCTTATCCCAAGGAAAACAAGCTATGATTGAAGCAAGAAAGTCAAAGAGATTTTTGCTTGGTGTAAACAAGAACTCAACAATATTCAAGAGGTGGAAAATAAGCGTATTCCTAGACTTTATGTCTGCGTTACGTCTTATTTTAGTTCGATGGCGCTGAAATCTTTCAGGCTCATGACGAGAACTGTTTCGCCACTCCAAGAATACTTCTTTTTCTACTATAATGCGGTTTCGTTTGGGTGCGTTGGACCTGAATCATCTTGCATGGAAATTCTTTCACGAAGACTCGAAATCTAAAAAAAAAACAAGTTATTATGAACGTGGACTCCCAATAGTTACTATCATGTATGCCAAAATATGACAACTTGACTTGCTGATCTGCTTGTTCTGAACTGGTAGTTTCAAGCAAGAGGGTCACTTTCAGAAACTGTGATATTTCATGTATTATATGGCAACGATTAAGTGCATCTTGTGTCAAGCCAAGTACGTCGCAACAAAAATATTGGAATGGCAGTGTAGTGTAGGCATAAAATCAGTCTAAATCATACCGTCATTCTGTGAACATTCATACCTGTTGTTCATGTTTTTTTATACCTGTTTTTGATGTTTTTCATACCTGTTTTTCATGTTTTTTATACCTGTTTTTACATTCATATCTGTTTTTCATACCTGTTTTTCATGCCTGTTTTTCATGTTTTTTATACCTGTTTTTATATTCATACCTGTTTTTCATGTTTTTCCATCATGGCCATCATCTGAGACTCGAGTTTCTTCACTCTCGCGGTATGTTTCTTCTTCGCCTTCTCATAAGCAGCAACCAGCGCGCCATTCGCTCGCTTCAGATCAGAAATATACTCTCCTGCCTGCTGATGGCGACTTTCTGTACTCTTGGATTGTTTCTCCAGAGTATCAACGAGTTCACGTATTCGTGACTTGAGTTTTTTCTCACGTCTCGCGGCTTCGTACAGGTCTGCTGGAATATCTTCGTCACTCGTCCGCAGTTCCGCTAACGTAATGGCGGGTGTTGCTGACGTACTGGAAGCCTCGCCATCCTACATGAATTCATGAAAATAGTAAGTGATCTATATTAACGCATAAATATCTATATTAAAGTCAAATAACCACTTACACTCGTCTTTGATCCTTGAATCGCTCGAGCAGTTTCCTCGAGTTTCCGTCGTTTCCTAATCTGATCTTTCAACTCAGTCTTCAAATGTTCAATATGTACAACATACGCTTGTTCTTGCGCCTCTCTTGAATAGAGCTGTAACTCTAAAGCTTTCTTTTCTTTTTCAGTTAAATAAACCTTCGCTCTGAGTTCAGCTTTCTCTTCCTTGAACGCCATAAGTTCTTGTAATAAAACTGCATTTTCTAAATCTAGTTTGGCATCAAGTGAGTCTAACTCAATCCTTGCCACCGGAACTAAAACATCATGCACACTTTGTAATTCCATTAAAGTGGTTCGTACTGTCTTTCGTTCCTCTTTTAATCTTGATAAGTAAGCTCTGAGCCTGCCCTCCTCTTCTTTACTGAAATCAAGCTCAGCGGATGATCCAGTAGAACTAGTGGCACTAGTCCGGCTCACAGAAGACAATTCCTCCCATGGGCGATTTGCCCCCGTCGAAACGTTCCCATCGGAACCTTTATCGTATCTCTGTAACAACGCTCTCGCTTGCGTCTCGGCATGTCGTCGGCGTTCGTAACATCCCGACGTCATCTGATCGTCATCATCTTCGTAAATGTCCGGACACCGAAGTCTTGATTCGCTCCCTACTCGGGATAGCGAGCGATAACGGAATAAATCAATGCCATCTGCATTACAGTTTATACTTAATACTTCTTGTTCGCTCTCCAGTAAATACACGAACGCCTCGTAACCATCGATTGTTCGGTCACACAGATCCAGTTCCACTTGTAAAGCCAAACATTGTGATTCATACTTCCCTGAAATATACAATACGGAGTCCTGATTTAGCATTAAAACTCCTTTAAACTAAAGTAACTTTATTTATACCAGATTCTAAAATTTTCTCTCTAGAGGTGCAGTAAGGGTCGTCCTTTATTGATCCATTGTTACTACAGAAGGAAACCCAAAACTAAACTAACTTTATTTGTACTCGATAGTTCTACCTGTGGTGTTTGGTAGAGTTGCAAACACTCTTCTCATATGGGAGTGAGGTGAAATTATAATCTGTATAGTGTAGGGATCGTAACATTCGTCATAAAGACGAAGGGCACATTGTTCCAACACCTTGATAAAAAGATTCGATACTGACCTATCAATAGAGATAGTTGTTCACTGTTACTTTTACTCTCTTCCATGGACAAAGCTATGACATTATTCTGAGCTCGAATGTGTTCAAGTTTCGTCTGCAAACGTTCAACCTCGATCTGATATTCGTGAATCTGGTCACCTGACTGCTGTGTCCAGTGCGTGTGTAGTGCGTGGAAAACATCGCGCAATGTCTGACATGACTGAAGTGTGTTCACTAAGGATTCCGGCATCTTGTCAAACTCTGGCAGTTGGTGCTGGAAACATACAGTGCATTAGTTACAGGCAAGCAAGACTGTGATGGAATGGACACGTTATAAGAAGAGATGGAAGCTGGTCAGAGCCATTATGGAATGAAGAGAAGTTAGACATTGTCGAGGAAGTGAAGTAAGAACGAATGAGATGGTATGGACATGTTATAAGAAGAGATGAAGGAAAGCTGGTCAGGAACATTACTGAGTGAAGAAATCAGACGAAGAGAGGGGTTGACATTGTATGGACAAGCTGGTCAGGGATATTACACAGTGAAAAGATCAAAAGAACGTGTGGGGAGGTGGACATTGCAGAGAAGATGAAGGAAGCAAGGCTAACGTGGTATGGACACATGCATTATAACAAGAAATGAATGGTCAGAAACATCACGGACCTGAAGTAAATGGGAACATTATAATATCAAGTGTAAAACTAACCAGTATTTTGATCAACTTGTCTCCAGTGAGTCCTTCAATCAATTCATTTTCTCCTTCACTCTTTGTGCTGTCTTTCTTGTGCCGACTCATCAACACCGCATCAGGACAACTGACAACAGATGATCCTAAGTCACTCGATGCATTCTTCCAACCGCTGTGCGCCGATTTTACTAAAATATACATACTGCTTTGTTAAAACCTGTTTCACCTGGATGTCGTCGTCAGCAATGAGAGAACATGCAAGTGTTTTCCGACCAATGCCTTGCCATGGGATTATTGAAAAAATATTTATGCAAGAGTGATTCTTTGTTGACCCAGAGCTTAAAGGAAACGACAAAAACACTTACCACTACCAGGTGGGGAGTTTTTGACGGACTTTAACGACGAGCCAGGACTTTCACCAAGCGTCCAAGATCTATTAAAACTATGACGTCTTGCCACTGGCGATGTTGGTGTGGACGAACCGCGAGGTCGGCCGAGACGTGGAGAGAACTGAGACGAGTTTTGTTGTGATGTATTGACTGGTGTGAAGGCCGAGTTCGAGCGATTGGGGCGAGGTGACGGTGGTTCACTGCTGTCACTGATCTCATGTCTTGAACCGTTCATTAAAGAATGTTTTTGCTTGCTGCTTTCTTGGTGCTGAAATTTAGAAAGCCAAATGTACCCTTTACAAAACTTAGCTGGCTTTTTATAACGGATAGCTCCAACAGTTCTAAACTGTTCTCCCTTGACGTCAAGTAGTCTCTATTGGTCTAGTACATAGATATCTATGGTCTAGTATTACTACACGAAGTACCCCAAACTAGACTAAATGTATACCCACGGCAGCTCTATCAGTTCTAAACTGTCTTTCCCAGAGGTCCACTGACGGTTACGACTTATTGATCCTGCGTTAATACAATACACGACAGCTCAATACACGACAGCTCCACTATTCTTCCTAGACGTTCAGCAAGAGTCATCTTTTACAGACCCAGTGTTACTACAGGAAGAAACCGGAGAAAACCATTCTTCTCGTATGCAACGGAGATGAAATCCAGACAACTGCATGCTAACCTTTCTTCTCCAACCATCTCTATCCTCGCGCAATGACTTTGTTAGAGCTTTGCTTTTATCAAGTTCTTGTTCCAACTTCGACACTTTAGCTTTCATTAATTCTCGTTCTTTTGTGATGTTCAATACTTGTTGTTGTAACTACAAATCATAAAATACATTTTCACTAAGCACTCTCGTGCAGCAGGTGATGGTCAATCTGCAGTTATCAAAATGAGAAAATAAGATTCTTTTACCTCGGTGCCTTCACTTGATCGTTTTCGACTCACATATTCAACAATGCTGGCTTGCTGGATCTGCTTTTCGACTGAAGGTAGAACAACGATAGTTAAATAAAACTCTAAACCTACCAAAACCAAACCTCTAAAACTCTAAACCTCTAACCAAAACTTTATCTATCGGTTCTATATTGTTTTCCCAGGAGATCATTGAGTGCCATCCCTTGTTAATAAAGGTCCACTAAGCGCCATTAATCCGGTTGTACTACAGGACAAAGCCGGAGCAAACCTGAGTTAAATTGCTAGAGTCTGAATCAACTTACTTTGATGCTTTTTCTTTTCCAGTTCCTGGCATTGGTCTTTGAGCTCAGTCAGTTTTTTCTGAAGTTGTAGAAAGATAGAGCGACTCAGTTCCAACTGTTTGGCATCGTCTGGCTTCTCGCTGACTGGACTTGAAACGCTCTGTCCAAGAGACTGCAGTTTTTGGTTGGTCTTAGATAAAGTATTGAAGTGAACTTCGTCGACATGATCTGAATCTGTGGCTCGTTGTTCGTTCGGTTCAAATACTTCCGCGGTATCTGTGTCCTCCTGATCACTGCCGCCTTGAGACGCATTGGTGGCTGGAGATATGAAGAAATAGTCTCAATATAGCAAATAACGGGGAATAACTATGTATTTATTCAAAATAATTATATTTAATCAAGGTATTTCGGCAACTGAGAAAGAAGTTTAAGAAAGCAAGACTGGGATGAAGACGAGCCACATCATATCACTGGATGGGCAATGAAAAGAAAGGAAGATAGAAATCTTCCACGTGGTAGACCATGGAAACGATGGATAGATTGTATAAAGGTAGATTTGGAAAGACATAACATTATGAATCGAGAGAGATGTCGACAAAGACGCCTGACTTCCATGAGGAGATACAAGGATAATGACGATGGCGATGATGAGCCGTACAGCAGATATCTGCCAACAAATCATTCAGTAGGTCTCTGTCTCAAGTAACTCGAAGGTTATTTAAAAGTTGAAGGTTTAATACTCACAATTTCCAGCACCATCAGAGCTTGGTGTTCCCTCTTCCTCCTCATCTTCTTCAGCGATACAGTTCACTGAAGCTTGATCAAGTTTTCTTCTTAACTCAGCAATAACACTTTGCAACTCCGTAACCTACGATTAAATAGTGACAGTGACAGTGAGTAAGATATAGTCTCATACTGTTTACACAGCGATATACTCGACTTTTAAGCTCAAAAAAGTTTTCTTACAAACTGAGCAATAACACTATTAACTCGTAACACTTTGCAACTCCGTAACCTACGATTAAATAGTGACAGTGAGTATAGGATATAGTCTCATACTGTTTACACAGCGATATACTCGACTTTTAAGCTCAAAAAAGTTTTCTTACAAACTGAGCAATAACACTATTAACTCTGTAACCTGCAGTTAAATGCAGAGCTTTAAGTAAAGTCACCAAACGTAAGATTAGTCAGGGAGATTCGCGCCGCTACGGAAAGCTATCTGGTATAATGTAAACATAACTTTACAGTCGATTTCACGAAACTTTGACCACAAATGTTCCGAATTTCGTTGCGAAGTTCAAAGTTCATATTGGAATTCACAAACCAATTTGTAAACAAAGTCCCTGATTGGTCCCTAAAGTAAAAGAAGCCAATCAGATGCGTAGTTTACAAACTGGTTTGTGAATCTCATTATGAACTTTTGAACTTCGCAACGAAGTTCGGAACATTTGTGGTCAACGTTTCGTTAAATCGACTGTAATCAGTGCCCTCACAGTAGCTTGTTGCGACGCACTGTATCTACCAAATAGTTACCTGCAGAGGAGGTTATAATCGTCTGTAAGAATGCGGAAAATATACTTAAACGGCGACAAAAGATTAAAGATTCACAAAGATTAAAGATTCACAAACAACCCACATAGCAATTACCTGTTGTTCCTGCTCATGTAACCGCTCCTCATATTTGACAATCAGTCGATCTTTCTCGTCCCTAGACTCCTTGAGTGTGCGCCGATATGAATCTCGCTCTGACGTCACTTTCTTCACCTGCTTCTGTAGATCATTGATTTCACTCTTCAGAGAGGTGAGGGCAGCAAAGTGGAGCTGAAAAGTTACAGAAAGTGAAGCCAGGAACACATTTATGTAAAAGTCATTCCTACATGATAGTGAATAGAAAGTAGGGTAGGGCTCAATGATATTCTTTGTCTGCAATCACGTGACTTTTCAACCAAATGACGGGCAATCCAACAACTTGTGGACGATTTTTCTCCTATCAGAATGGTTGTACAAGAAAAACTCAACTGTAATTCATCTTTCGAGTCTTAAACTGTCTCTAAACTCGATCAATACATTAAAATAGCCGTTTTTTGTTATACCTGCCCGTCAACTGAAATCTCAGAATTACGTCATTGCAAACAAAGAATTCTCTTGCACTTGCCAATAACAAGAAAGTTTACTGGTGTTGACAAGTCAGTGCAAGTCACCTCTGGAAACTTCTCATCAGGTCGCCTGTCAGAAGAGTGTTTCCAGATTTTCTATATAGCCAGGTTTACTTGGGTTTCCTCCTGTAGTATTAATACTGAATCAATAAGGGGTGATCCTAGGTGATTCTTACTGAATACTACAAAAACTTCCTATAAAAAACTACTGATCACCCTTAAGTGCAACCGTTCGTTAGCAGCCAGAAAACTTCATATTTATGCCTGAAACTTCTACAGTTTCGCTACATATTTATTTTCGTTTTCACTCTAAGGATTCAATCTCTCCGGGCAAAAGAAAATTCGCCATGCTTTGTTTGTCTGAGCGCTTACGCATAATCTTAGTCTAAAAATAATCACGGAATTCGTAGCTGAAACAAATGACAAAGGTCTGCATGCAATGAACGAGAGATAAGATCAATTTTGAGACAACTCTATAATATTTCGCTTTTTTTAATGAATAGTAAATACCATCAGCTATCTTTATTTGGCTTCCAATATTCAGTATTCACATTAAGGTAATCTAATATAGTATATTCGCCAAAGCAAGTCTAAAGTTAGCCAAATAAACAACAATAATACTCCAACGATTAAACACATACCCTTCTCAATTTAAGCAATCTTCGGCGGACAAATTCAGTCGAAAATAAGGGGTAATAACTCCGATGTATTTCACTATCCATTCTCGACGCTGAATAAGAAGCCACAAACAAATTGCTCGTAATTGTGCTAAACGCCCTCAAGGCCTAAACTCATTGTCAGAAAATTGTCCGTTTAAGCATAGTTATTAACTATGGTTTAAGTGTCTGAGCACATTGAGATGCCAACATGTTGTGATTAGCATTCGCTGCAATTCGAGAAGCGCTCGACAAGCGTAAGAGCTTATATAGCAAATACGCTTAGCTTTCATTAACACTGTTCAGCAGACGGCGGTCAACCTGTAGTTATCAGAGTGGGGAAATAATATTAATACTTTTCAATAGATGTATACGAGTCTTGTATTTTGTGGCAAATAAACAGAATTGAAAGATGGAGTTTTCTTTGCTCCTATCATTTGTCAACATTTCAAACAAATACGTTTTGACCAAATAAGAACTTATGAAAACCATATGTAAAGTGCGCAGGAATTAGGAAATGATTTGCGTTGGACATTAGAAACAAAAAACATCTTTTTTGTACTAATTATCTCTTAGACGACTGGCGGTCTAGGTTTTGTTCTACGTTTTATCATGATTATAATGGGTATGCTTGATATCATTGTCTGAGGATGAGTGCTTGAATGTGCCAGAAAAATGTAAATTGCGTCTATCTCTGTTTAGTTTCAAGTACGTTTTAAATAATGCCATACATACATATTTCACATACTGGACTTTTTTCTTATTTTGATGTTGTCATGTTCTATTCTGCTGGCTGCATGGTTTACTCTATCAAAGTTTCTGTGATCACAGTAGGAATTTTGCATCGGTAAATTCCAAGTTTTGAAGGATTTGTGTTTGAGGGAACTGACTACTCCTCAAACATTTCTTACAAATCCTACAAAACGTAGAATTTATTTTCAATATTTTGTTCCCGCTAAATAAAACCTGTGAACACTCTCGATCATTGCTTGCAATTGAACACTCGATCTGCGTGCGCATATCTTACATGACTCCTTAGTGGCGTAGTCCAATGACGAAATAGAATTTGAAAGGCTGGCGCCTTTAATTTATTCATTCCTTTTACTCCAATCTTGTAGCCTTTCTTGGCTGATACTGTCAGGCCTGCCTCTACTTTTATCACATTTTTATGCTTGTTATGGACACCTCCTTCACAAAATAAATGTGGAAAAGTGTGAGTGGGAAACAATCCCTTGAAACTCAAAATATTTCCAATATTATCGAAATAAAAATTCCTTAATGATTGTTTTGCGTTAGTTAAAAGCTTAGTGGAATACAAAGGTTTTCCTGAACGGAAGGCATTTGCAAACAATCGTCCGTTATCATCTACAGTATCTACATGTTATTTTATTAGCCTACGGAGGCCCTCGCGAGACCCACACGAAACGTGTTTCTGCTGGGGGCTCTGCGTCATAGCACACACATAGCCTGGAGTTTTACATAATCAACAAAATGTGACAATATATGTAAAGTTGGAAAGTAACCTATTTCCAACGCACTAATATCCAGAGCAAAACTCGTGATTCTGCGTTGATCTTCTATAGATGAATAAAATCTACTGCGTAAATCTACAGTCAGGGCCGTAGCTAGACAGATAATTGGGGGGGGGGGGCATATTCATATATTCGTGTTCTGCCCAACAGATTTCTTTTGAAAGCGATTGTTTTTATCTTTTATCGCGTCTAGCTATGGCCCTCTCTACAATCTCGGAGGTGAAAGGCAATTGCTTTGACGACTGTTCTACCAGAGGTCAAAAACTCTTGAAGCAATTTGCGCAAAAAAAACAAATGCCACAAATGGATTGTCATAATCAAATTATGATTTGCGAATGTGCACAAATGTCGATATCAAATTTCCATGATTGAAACCTTTATTTTTAATCTCAACTTCCGCTGAGGAAAAACGCGTCAAGTGGTCTAAAAACGCACAGATTTGTTCAATTCTAGCCACAGAAGATCGTATGACTTGTAGTGATTGGCCAAAGTCTTCTAAAAACTTCTACAGTTGTTCTTGACAATGTTTCGAATACAACTTGATCTTTACTTCAAGATATTTTTCTACTCAGCTTTGATAGCCTATCACGCGACAGACGTCTACTTAGATTGGGCTGTTTACGAAGAACTACAGACCGACATCTCGCTTATTACACATGAAAGAAACACGACAGGAATTGTTTTCTTAGCTAGCTGTATCGCTGGGACAGTTATGAGTATACTACTGGTATTAATCTACGGATACTACATCAAATTTCATCGCAGTTTTTTGCCAAGTAGAAACGACGTTCATCACGAGCTTCTTGAGATTAATCGCAGTATTGTCACAATGGAATTAACTGTTTCGCTTTGCGAGCTGCTCTACAAGGAACTTATCCAGAGTTCTATCTTGTTCATCGTTTTCAATTCAGGCGTTCATACCACTTGTGTGAGCAAGACAACCAAAGCTTTCACCGTGTGTTGTCTTTTCTCGAATGTGAAATTGTTTGTTTGTTTTTACACCAAACTGTGCGGAATTGGAGTCGGAGAGGAAATAAAGTCACTGATCAAGGCGTTGGTTTGTTCAGTCGGTTGCATGGGCGCCTTGCTCGGTTTGTGTTTTGCCACGCTCTATTATTCTGACATTCAAAATCTCGCCTTTTGTCCCGAGATTTAGAACTAACAGCGCATGGTATGTGAAGAATTGGAGCCAGCAAATTAATTAACATATCACGCGGAAGTGTTGATTAAATTTGCGCAAATGTGAGAAAATGGTTTTTCTTTGCGTCACTAAGAAAAAACAATTTATTCATCAGACAGTAGTATTACATCAAGAACAGGCAAACCAAGGCCACTTTGGCGTATTTTTAATGTTTTCAAACTAAGTCAAAAAGACCCATGGCTATGTCATAAGTTCATAACCGGAAAATGTTTAGTCAAAATAACCCATTGGTGATTGGTTTTGGTTGGTTAGAAAACATAAAAAATATGCAAAAGCGGCCTCGGTTTGCCCTTGTTCCAGCTGTAATAGACATTCGTAAACTTTATGACTTAATGAAAACATTATTGTACAGAGACTTTTAGTGTAATGAAACATATACCTATTCTTTTTTTATTTTCTAATCTGTGCCATTCTTTTCAATTCTACTGCCTCGAACATTCTCAGGAAATTAATATTGAAATGTAACACTAGCAAATTATCTTTGTACATAACATGTATATAATAGGATTGTATATAATATCTGCATAACATGTATATAATATTATATTAGATTTCAAGGATCACAATTTTCAACATTTTCACAAGTGTGCAAAGAGTACTCTTTCGTTCAAACCCCCTGACTAGAACAAACATATCAGGAATGATAATGAGTCTATAATAAACATTTTTACCACCTCCCTCCCCAGTTTGTATGCTTGTAAAATGGTGCACTAATTTGTAATAAGTATGTGCATATATCATTTCTGTTCTTGTTTTGCAGACTAGAAGTTCACTTGGGAAAAATCTTTCAAGCAAGCAGACAATATAGAAATATGCATCTCATTATATTGACAAATCTGTGGTTAACAAAGCAAAGGAAATTCAAAATCAATTGCATATCAAAGAAAAATGGTTTACAATTTCAAAATTGCATTAATACTGTAGTGCATAATTACACCAATGTCCATGACATTACTTGAACTTAAGATGAATTTTAGAATTTGACATGTACAACCACAGACTATTCGAGATTCTTAGTGCTTCAAAAACAACCTTGCAAGGGGGAGGAGTGGACGAGACTGGCTTGCGAGGTTTTCCTTGAAAAATGGCCTATGGTGTTCTCAGTTTCAGTAATTGAGTTCATTTCTTTCATATCTTTCTCATATTCATTTCCATTCCAATTTGCAGGTGGTGAATGAAATTATTTGTTATTTTAATACCCAACGTTATTTTGCACTAATACCCTGAGACAGATCTCACCCTGCCCAGTTTTTCTAGAATTATGTAATTACAGAACTGTGTTGTTCCTCTGACAAGCACAGAGCAAGTCTATAAAGTATGGCAGGATTGAGTTGCCAATGGGCATCAACACACAGCCTATTATATTCACCAATATCCCACTGGAAAGCAGTTCAAAATTGCTAGATGTTTCAAAATTTAATAGTAAACTACAATATAAGAACTATATAAAAGAACTATGTGCCCAAGGAGATGAACTTTTATTTCCCTAGGCAAATATATAGGTGCCTCTGGCTCTTGGCAATATTCAATTACATAAACAACTTTAATGCAGACAGATGCTGTGTGCATAATTTATGAAATATTCAAGTCTAATCAAACTTATTTCTATTCCTGATTGAAAAATCAAATTCAGTTGCAAGTGATTGAATTTCTAATTAATGTGAAACAGTGATACTGTTCTCACATATTTTATATTTGTGGGTTCTTTATCATTGGGCCAGACATATCAATATGCAAAATACTAATATGAAAAAAACCTGCAGTGCAAATTCATTTGCTTTAATAGTAAAAACAGCGAGGCTTGAGCTTTATAACTTACTAAAATCGAATATATCTCTCATTCTGAGGAGAAATTCTAGAAATTTTGAAGCCCACACATTGCAACATTAATATCGACACTTGACGAGATTGATGGGAAAATTATAGTTTACAATTTCAATATCCAACGCAGTGTTTATTTAACAAACCCAATGTGGGGAAAATATTTTGAATTCTTGCACTAAAATTGTTTACGTTTACGAAGGGCTGGAGGTAAAATAGATCAAAATACACTCGACGCAACAGGTTGAGCTCGCGTTCTGAAGCATTGTTTGTTACAACTTATTCAACAATGACTTGATTAAACATTGACTAAAGCCGACATGACAAATCTGTGTTTTATAAATTAATCTATTATTCCGAACAGTAAGCTTTTGACTTTATTGTTCAAGGCTCTAGACCGTTCAAATCTTCTGAATACGTTCGTTAAAGCGAAAAAATCTCTATGACAATATTCAACGCGACGTTTTGAGTATAGAAAATCACAAGCAGACACAAATAGAATGTCACACGACAGAGAGTAAAGTAAACATGCCATAAAACGATATTACCAACGCTATACAAATTGGGACAAAACAAACATAATACAACGAACACAATCACACAAATTGAACTAAAATTTCTACAGCATTTTCTACAATCTATATGTACTCACCGTGTTGGCCAATTCCAAAAAATTCGTCCCCCTACTTATATTGTTAGTCACACCAGCCGAGTTGACAATGCTGGCTTCACTGACGTTTGTTTTCTCTGTTGCGCTATCATCAATAAATACATCAGTCGAGGTACAGGAATTCGTTTCACCACTTTGATCAGTGTTTGGTGGAGGGAATTCGCGAAGTAAATCTTCTAAACACTCCAACGACACATCTCTCCCTCCTTTTAATTGACTCATAACTTCTTGAATTTTACGATCACCCATTCCTTTCTGGCGGCAAATGGAAGTCGCTTCGTCCCTATTTATGAAAGCAAGAATAAACCCTTTTTCAATTCATACTCAAATATTCTATAGCATACAAACTCACCGACAAAAACAATCAATTGTAATGTATAGAATGAAACGAGATCTTTCTCTAAGTAGCTTAGTAAAATAGCTTTAAATCTTTAAATAGCTAGGATAGGCAGTATCTTTTATTATTATTTTGAAAGTAGAAATGTAACAAAGTAATAATGTTTCAAAATACTTGTTGAGAATTATTACAACGTGATAAACCAGCCAATCACTTGGAGAATAACAAAACTTGAATTCATAGCACTTACAAAAGCATGAAGTACAAAAGCCTGTTACATAATAAAGAAAACGTTGAAATCTTTTAGACTTACTTGGTTAATGAAACTTCTCTTGTATTTTTGGTGTTTTGTATAACATTTAAAACGTCTTGTTTCCACTGAGAATCACCATTACTTGTCACAGTAGTCGACACATGTTGGCACTTCGTGTTCGGCTCACTGGCTTTTTTATCGCTCGCTTGCTCGCTCGACTGCATAATGTATTCAAAGCAATTTAAACACTCGTTGCCCTTCCTGGGTGTCTAAGTTACAAAGTAGACAAACCAACAGGTCTTTCTTTCTTTAAAGCACCTACATTTTAACAAATTGAAGCAAATAAACGCATGTTTTTTAAGACTTGCGCCTCGACATTTTATGACATACAAACTGTGTGAAGTGCGCGTGAAACGCGTGTTCTATTTTAGTCCCGCGCGATATCCGGGGGGGAAGAAACAAAACTTTGCCTATCAGGGGGGATTAATTTAGAAACTGTCAGACCGCAATTTATTCGTAAATATAGATTTCTAAAATGTGCGATGCATTCTATTATATTTTTTTTCTTACAATAAATATACTCTGAAATATGGAAGTTTCAGCTAGGAGAAATGTTTATCTGCGATAATCTGTCAATTTAGCACGCTGAATAGGTTGTGAAGATTTAAAATAGTATTTAACACCTCTGGAGGTCCCTTATATGACGAACTTTTGCTTTCTTAGCGTGCTAATAGCCTATAATCCGCTTTTCGTAGCTCTTCCTTGGAGGAATGTTTACATAGAGAACCGTCCGAGACTCCAGTGCCGAAACAAAAATCATATCAAAATAGTTGAACGCCCTGTGCTAGTGTAGGCAGTGGCAATAAGGCTTCGGATTGATGGGGCCAACTGAAAAATAAAAGCAGAATTTCGACATTTCCCTTGTATTTTTCAGGTAGTTGTATCCCTATCATTCCGAAAGTTTCTTTCTATCAAAATAGTTTTGTGGAAAACGCCGCGTTTATTTATTTAGCACTTTCATTCCGAGTACAGATCAGCTCATTATTCTGCGGTACAAATAACAAATTTATTTGTACGCTTTTTACAAGGGCTAAAAATGCTTGGAAGCCCAGAAGCATAAAAATAGTTGAAATACCAATAGCGTTTTCCACGAATATTTCGTATTTATCGCCATGGGAATGTACAAGGTACATTAAATATCGTTAAATATTACTGAGAGTGGTAAAACATGGCAAATAGTTCAATGTTTTAAATTCGAAATTAAAGAACAAACATATAATTCCTTACCGTTCTTTCCTGCTAGGATAATCTCAAGGAGATTTTCAGAAGCTTATCACGGCAAAACAGAGTTTGGTAGCGTTATTGGTCACAAATTTCGTACCACGAAAATGTGGTGAGCTCGTAAGATATACAACACGTTACTGAAAAAACAAAGCACTTTCATCAATTGTCGGATTTTAGTTTTTCAATCCGATTTAAAATCTCTCGTTCCGCCTCGTGCGCGTTCTCGTCTGCACGCTTTAACACGCGAAACAACCAAGACGCACGTACGCAGCTAGCCTGCGCGCAGGTGTATGCAGCGCGTTCTCGCACTTATTGCCAAGTAGTTTACGCAAAAGATAGTGCAGTACCAGATTGTAAATGTAAATAAAGTTTTGGCTTGGGAATAAATTAATTTCCTGCGCAAAAATTCTTGCAATTATGAAAATCTGCGCGATATTTTTCAAATTGTAAGAAACTGCAAAAAAAAATTCTGAACAATCTACACAAAATGCCTTTGTGAACCAAAGACCAAGCAGATTTCTGATCTTCCTATTGACAAGAACTCTTTCTGACTGCAGGTTCGTTGGGTCCGCCATAAATCTTGTGTGAAAATATGACATTTCTGCACATTTTTCCCAAGGAAAAAATAAAAAAAAATCCGCCATAGCAACTTATGCAAAGAAAACGTTTTACTCCCGTCCCCGCCAACACTCAACTGAAGCAGTATTCAGAGAGAATTATTCATTTAATCTCAAAGTTCTGCATTATTTCATTCATTGCTTTCGTTTCTTCTCCACTACATCCTTCCTTGCTGCTTTGCTTCTCTCTTGCGCCAAAATTGCAGCCCTCTTTGTGCTCTTCGCATGAGGGTTTAACTTCAGCATCACGCCCAGATTCTTCAGAGGATTCTTCTTCAGTTGCGCACGTTTAGGTGCAGGCCTGAAAGAATTATTTGAATTGAAACGTTGACTACTTTATCTGGCTGAGGAATAAGCCATCACAGCTTAATGTTATGCTGGGTTTGAAATAACACCCAATCTACAAGAAACTGTTTCTAATCAGCAGAGGGGCGGGGTTTTCAATTGGAGGAAACAGGGAAAGTCCAGACTGCAGATCACCATGATCGTGAACTTTATGAACGTTATTTCAAGCCCTGGTTATGTATGTATGGGTAATAGTGAAAGAAATGATCATGAAATTACAAAAATTCTACAAGCAACAATATGTACAATAACATGTCAACATGGGTATCGCAATCTTACTTGGTTGGTCGAACAACTTTTTGGATTTCTTCTGAATTGATCAGTCGAGCCAAATCACTGTTCTTCATCATGGGTTTGGGCAAACTGTAATATGAAAAAATATTTATTTATTCAAAGTGTTTTAGTGTGTTTTTTCAAGGAGTTCAGAGTCAAATCACACAAGTTTATTATGTACACCACTTACTTGTACGAAGCCTTTTCAGTCGATGCTTTGCGCCAAGTTCCGTAGAGGCCATCAAGCTTTT